AGTTGGTTATGAACTCCCATTTTTACCCCAAATACAGATTGCAGAATCACATCTGTTACATATCCACATTTTTACATAATGCCCTATTAGTAACTGTTGTATTCTAAGATTTCATCTCCCTCCAGTCAGAATGGCAGCTGTTATGAAGACAAACAACAATAAGTGTTGGCGAGGATGTGGGAAAAAATGCACAGTTATACATTGCTTGTGGGACTGCAAATTGGTGCAGCCAATCTGGAAAGCAATATGGGAATGGAACCCAAAGGACATCCCCAAGGATAGCATACTACAGGACACAGACGTATCAATGTTTATAGCAGCACAATTCACAGTAACTAAATTGTGGAACCAACCTAGATGTCCTTCATTAGGTGAATAGATAAAGAAAATGTGGTATATGTACACAATGTAATATTGCTCAGCATCAAAAGAGAATAAAATCATGGCATTTGTAGGTAAATTGATGGAGTTGGAGAATATAATTCTAAGTCAAGTGAGCCAATCTCAAGAAACCAAATGCCAAATGTTTTCTTATATATTGGAGATGGGTGGTGGAGCATGGGAGAAATGGAAGAACTTTAGATAGGGCAAAGAGGAGGAAGTGGAAAGGAGGGGGCATGGGAGTAGGAAAGATGGTGGAGTGAGATGGACATCATTGTCCTAAGAACATATATAAAAACATGAATGGTGTGACTCTATTTTGTCAACCAGAGACATGAAAAATTGTGCTCTATGTGTATAATATGAATTGAATTGCATTCTGCTGTCCTATGTAAGAAATTAGAATAAATAAAATAAATAAATAAAATCTGCAACTTGATTGAGACATAATAATCATGCTCACTTCATTTAGCCCTGTATTAGGAGATACAACTAATAGCTGATAATGGAAACATGATTCATGATGTTTTTTTTTTTCAGGCAAAGCTGAAATCAGGTCGTAACATGAAATATATAAAATAAACATAAAGCCTTTCATATGATAAGCATAAAGTCCTGCTAAATGAATGGGAGAGGGCTACTTAGCAGTATGTGGAATAAAGACCCAGAGAAGTCAATCCTAAATACAAGTTTCTGGTTTCCAGACTTTCCTCAAGGAGAAGGGTTGTTTGGGAATCTGCATGTTTCAAAAGCTTCTCAGTGATTCTGATAATTCTGATAATTTTTCAGTTTCGGGAATCCCTACTATGGGCTGGAGAGTCTAGTGTATACTTCCTTCCATAAGAGGTTTTCTAAAATATGGACATTTTTTAAAACTAAACACTCTAAAAGCCACTGTATTTCAGAATAATTCTACCCAGTTTCTTTTACCCCTTGAATTATTATTCCATAGCAATGAAACTCAGGAGAAGCAATTTAATCAAAGAACCATTATCTATGATTTCTAAACAGTTAGAATGAAGACAGGCAGCAGAGTTAATTTGCTTCTAATCCCTCTCTATGCAGATTATAGCTCCCTAATCTTCTTTTTCTCTGAACTCCTACTTCAATGGAACCCCTAATGTGAGTTGCATACATTTCTCAATAATATAATATTTTGGTATCTTTGTCTGATATTTACTGTTTTTTAACATTTGTATGCATCTTTAAGTTAAATTCTGAAGGCTTTATAAGCACCCTGATTTCTAATTAACAGTGGGTATAAATAGTTATTGTGATACATATTAAAGCTATATATTAATGAATACTCATAATAAGTCTAGGTTTTTTTTCTTCTTCTTCTTTGCTTTCTCTCTCTTGAAGATAAGATTTATCAAATACAATGCTGGGAGGATGAATGTATAATTTGAACGAACACTTCCCTAAATACCAATATTACTTTATATAGTTAATTATAAGATTTTAACTGCCAATAAGTTCCATTTCTTTTGTGCAAATTTGTGAATGTAATAAAACACTTTTGACTAACTAATTAAATAAAGCAATATAAGATTTAATTGTCAGCTTTTTAGGAATTTTATGAACCAGATTGTGTTGCCAGAATCGCTTAGGTAATTTAAGAATCACAGAATCTTCTTAAATGTTTTATTTTGTTCTTAAAACTAAAATAGTAATTTTTATATGTTCATTGAAAAAAATTCAAGCATAGTAAAATATATATATAAAAAGCTAAAACCACTGAAATATCTATAACTCCAGTAAAACTGCTATTGATACTCTGGTGGATAGTCTTTGGCCATCTCAGTAAGTATGTGCGTGTGTGCGCACACACACACACACACACACACTCACAGATATAAACATAGACCTAATTTTACATGTAAGGTTAATAAATTATATAAAACTGTTACTTATAATTGAGGGCTAGATGTTATTTTCTATGCAGTCTTCTGTTGGTTCCATGTCGATAATTAGACATAAGCACTTTTATCCTAGTTAAGAATAATCTTTGTCATTTCAGGATGGAAGACATACATTCACTTTTTCATAGTAGTATTAAGATTTAATTTTTACTTGGTAATCCTTCATCCATGTGGGGTTTATATTTATAAGTTGAAAAGTAAGAAGTCAATATTATTTCTACTTGAATTGCTGGTTAGTTTTCAGAATTCATGAAGATCCATTTTTTTACTACTAATTTTAAAATGACTACTTCTTTTATATTAAATTCTTTATTCCAAGTCCTGAGAAAGTCTGCATGGGGGAGCTGGAAAACAAGGAAGGAGTCCCAAATCCTACTTCCAGAGAGACTGGTAGAGAGCAAGGGCTAGATCCAAGAAGAGGGATCTGTAAGGGACTTCCTTCAGGAAACCCACAAATTCCTGAAGCAATGCAAGGGAAGGAGTTCTTTTTTTGTTTTGTTTTAGTGAAATGTCTGCATTTAGCCTTCAGCAAGGATCAGCTTACTTGTGGGCCTCCAGAGAGTGCCAATATCTTTCTTTGGGGGTTACCGTGCATATTTTAAATTGTTTTCCAAAAACTTTGTTTCCGTAGCTTGAAACTCAAACAATTCCACAAAGAAATCCCAATTTAATATTTTCCTTTTATTTCTCGCTCCCTGATTCCTTTTCTCTTTTTGATTTCTCTGTAGTTCTTATTCTTGCATTCTCAGGGAAAAAAAAAAAATCCTTCTTTCTCTTCTCCATTCTGTTTGGGAGCCAAAACATAAATCTAACTTCATCTGATAGACCTAAGGAAACTAACCTAAGGATAGTTCTTATGGTCAGCTTAAAAAGGAAAAGGTAGGGAAGAACTTATGAAATGAACACTCAGTGCCATGAACACCTGAGTTCTTGGAAACTGATTATCAGAGATCCCTTTCAGCGTTACCGTGGACTCAGTCCTTCCCTTCATCCCACGTGTTTTACTCTTTCTCCTGCTTTCAAAATTTTTGTCTCTTTTATTTACTGCTGTATCTCTGACATTTAGAACAGTCATTTAGAAGGAGCTGAATTAATACAATCAGTTCTCTGTCTGTATGTTCTATATTTGCAAATTCAACCAACTGCTGATGGTACACTATATAATTAGGCCTACTATGGTTGTGACTATACTGAACATATAAAGACTTTTTTTTTTTTTACTACTCTTCCCTAAACAATAAGTACAACAGCCATGCTCATAGTATGTGTAACATATTAGGCATTGTAAGTAATCTTAACATGATTTAAAGTGTATGGAAGCATGTATGTAGGATATGTGTAAACACTATACTATTTTATATAAGAACCTTGAAAATCCAGAGATTTAGGAATTCATGGTGATAGTGGGGATTGTGTCCTGGAACCAGATCCCTATGAATACCTAGGGATGTCTATATTTGTTGAAGTAATTAAGAGATGTTCTTGATGAATGAGCAAATTTGGCTTATTTCTTTTTACTGTATTTCAATTTTGCATTGCAAGTGTTTTAGTGACACTCATTTTCCTTGGAAAAGCAGGATTTTGGACTTATGTGGGATAATTTAAGTATCAAGTGTATTTCTAGCAGAAAATTCTTAAGTTCTAATTTGCCAATTGACTGACTTTTAGAATATGATCTGTTGGCAAATTAGGGACTGTCTATACCTTACTTTTCATGTTTCAGGAGTATATCTTTTACAAGTATAAACAAAGTGACCAACATGTATCTGTCTTTGTTTTTCAAGTGCTTAGGTGCATCTTTCCCAAAATGAAAGCTAAGGCTATTAAATATAGAGGGAAAGTTTTTTGAAAAGCTGAAAAATATTAAGCATTTGGCCAAAGAGGTTACTGTACATGTTTTCTCTGTTTTCTGAGTGTCTTTTGCATTAAAATCCTTCATAATAGAAATGAAGAAATATTTATTCTCTATATAGAACCAAGCACAGGGAAAGTGTTAGATTTGCCTAACATATTTCAGAGTTGTGCCCTTTCTTGTGATCCACCTCAAAACTGGCACAGTGAGACAAACTGTTTTTATTTTAAAGAATGTTCCTTAGACATTGGTGTTGTGTAAGTTCTGGGATAGGAAAAAAATGATCACTTCCTCCTTCCCATTCTGGAACCTGGATTCCCAAAATATCTCACCAATCTCTGTGGGTGGAACAAAATGCTTTTGCTACACTACAAAGGGGGAAGTTAAGATGCATTAAAAGCTACTTAAATTGAGACAGTAGAAGTGATCCACGATGGGATCATTATCCAAGGGTGGTAGACTTTGATTTCTGAGAATGTGTTACAATATCCCACATCCAGCTTGATATCTTGTTCCTGGCTGGTTTTGGTGGCCGTGGGTCATGGGAAGGGGCAGGTTATTTAACCTTTAAGATGTTTGACTGTGTGGATTATCAGAAGCTTCAAGGTATGAAAAAAGCATGGACTAACTTTAGGGCCAGAGGGCTCTCCGTCTGACTTCTAACTGTAGAAACTTGAGTGAAAACATAACTTTTCAGTTCATCTTTCTGCAAAAATGGGAATAATGACGCCCACCTAGATGAGATGTCGCAAGGATGGCACTAGTGTCTGGCTGGCAGCACTTCCTCAGTGGACCACTGACATCCATCCCAGTATTCACCTGTCCTCTGTCCATTTCCCTCCTAGGTACCTTGGGATCACCCGCCCTCTCACCTACCCTGTGAGGCAGAATGGGAAATGCATGGCAAAGATGATTCTGTCTGTCTGGCTGCTGTCTGCCTCCATCACTCTCCCCCCACTCTTCGGATGGGCCCAGAACGTGAACGACAACAAGGTCTGCCTCATCAGCCAGGATTTCGGCTACACCATCTACTCCACCGCCGTGGCCTTTTACATCCCCATGTCCGTCATGCTGTTCATGTACTACCAGATCTACAAGGCTGCCAAGAAGAGCGCTGCCAAGCACCGCTTCCCTGGCTTCTCCCGCACCCAGCCCGAGAGCGTCATCTCCCTGAATGGCGTGGTGAAGGCCCAGAAGGAGGTGGAAGAGTGTGCAAATCTGTCCAGACTGATCAAGCATGAGAGGAAGAACATCTCCATCTTCAAGAGAGAGCAGAAGGCAGCCACTACCCTGGGGATCATCGTCGGAGCCTTCACCGTGTGCTGGCTACCCTTTTTCGTGCTCTCAACGGCCAGGCCCTTCATCTGTGGCACCTCCTGCAGCTGCATCCCGCTGTGGGTGGAAAGGACCTGTCTGTGGCTGGGCTATGCCAACTCCCTCATCAACCCCTTCATCTACGCCTTCTTCAACCGAGACCTGAGGACGACCTACCGCAGCCTGCTCCGCTGCCAGTACCGTAACATCAACCGGAAGCTCTCGGCTGCTGGTATGCACGAGGCCCTGAGGCTGGCAGAGAGACCTGAGAAGCCGGAATTCATCCTGTAAGGTCACTTATCACTGTTTTTATCTTTATTCCCCTCCCTTTTATACAACTTCTTGAAGCATATGACAGAAGTCTTCCCCAATCCACAGAGAGCTTATTTTCTACCATCTATATCAGATTTGAATCCAGAATAGTAGAGACTCCAGTTCTCCACCCAATAACGTTTCAGTAGCCAAAAAAAAAGATAGGTGCTCCGTTAGATTGGAAGAGGAGATTGATTTTGCTGATGAACTGCAATGGAGGGGATTGATGACAAGGAAAGCAATATGTTCCATTCTTTCTCCATAAAGCATATCTAAATTGTGTCCTCATATCTGAATTGCTGTGACATTATCATTTTAATCACAATTATTCTTCCCTCTGGTAACATTTTTTTTTTTTTCTGATGATCTCCTACTTCACTGATAAATTCTTCTTTTGAGGAAGGAAGCAAAATGATGTTTCCAGAATGGGGCCACAGAAGATGCGAGGATGGGGCAACCTCTTAAAAGCCTTGGGAGCTTTCAGGAAGTGCTGTCTGCCACCTTGGCAGTTGAGAATTGATAGAGTTGTTGAATTTGTCTGGGAAGCCTTAGTGACTTTCTAGGGAGAAATTGCAAAAGCGTGTAGAGATCTGGAAAAGGACCACAAAGAGCTGACTGTGATCAGGAAATGAAATTTCACAAGCAATCCATGCATTGGCAAGTTTTGGGTTGCATAGAAGGATGGAGACGGGAGAGTAGAGTCAACAGTAAGTTGAATGAAAATTTTCCTCAGATTTAAGTACAGGAGGTATCTTCATATTTGATAACTGAGAGAAAAGAAACTTAGAATGAAAGAAATGGGCAGGAGAGAGGAAGAGGTGCTCCTTTGTACCCAACCTGGAAGGAAGGAATAGACTAGAAAGTAGGGACTCTCCAGCTGAGAGGGATTTTCCCGGTCATCTTGTTGTCACTTGACAGAAGAGGTAACTGGGGTTTAGAGAGTGAGTTATCCCCTACTCAGCTAGTGTCCCAACTAAGTCAAGATCCCACACTGTCTAATCCCTAGTGGTACACATTTTCCATGTGCTCTACTGCCTTTATTTAACAACTGAACCTTGTAGCTATGCTAATTCTCGAGCTGGGCACAGCTTCTCAGGTTTTATTTTTATTTCTTTTGTATACACTCTGTTGTTCACAATATGAAAAGTAACACTTTAATAAAGTGTAATTTTAGGTTCTAGAACAGGTACTATGAACAACTTCAGAGAGTCTAGGCCTATAAGATTCTACTGAATTTACCACTAGTATTTGCCCATTAGATTTTGAATATCTTAAGGGAAGAAGCTAAAACTTAGATTTCTTTTTGAGGTATAGTGCCTGATATATAGTAGATGATAAAAATAATAATTGCTAACAATTATTGAGCAACTACTACATGCTATACACCATGCTACCTGAAAAGTAGGTGCTTCTAGTATCCCAGGTTTTAGAATAACTTAAGGCTCAGGGATATAAAATAACTGATTCATTGGGGTATGAATCACCCCAATACATGTGCCTTTCATAGTTAAGCAAATTACTTGTCAAATAAATGATTTCAGTCTGGAGATAGTGAAGAGCTGCTGAATATTTTTGAAATAGGAATTATAGTCACTTCTCCTTAAGAAGACAACTAGAATAACCTGCTAGTTTAATTAAGTTAGGTTCATTAGACTTACTGCACAGCGGGAGGACACCTACTAGGCAGAGTCTTAGTAGATTTTTGGAGAAAGAAAATAAGATGAGAATTTTTGTAGAGTTTTAGGGCTTAGCCTGGGTGTTTATAAAGTGGAAAAGTGATGGTTTCATGACCTAATGGCTTGGGATTGGTGAATAAGGTGAAGACTTAGAAGCAACGATTAATGAGAAAACTATTAGTCTTGACAAGTAAGCTATTTTAGTTGGTTCACAGTCTTATCTCCTGGAAGCAGCTCTTTCTTGGAATAAGAAGCTAGGTTATCTTGCCTGGTCCTAGGATTGTTCAGCACAGGAAAAGGAAAGCATGTTGTTTCAGTTCTTTGGAGAACCTGGATGAGGGAATGTGTTTGAGGAAAGTCTTGGTAGTATGACAAGAGCAGACAGAAGGGCAAGACTGGTGGTAGGGGGTCCAGCAAGGCAGCCACATATACTGAGGATTCATTCTCAGTCACTCTGTGTAATCCGACTCTATGAAAATTCTATCATTCAATCCTCAAAATTTCATGATAGGTCAGTTTTTTTTTAAAAAAAAAAAACCTTTATTTTATTTATTATTTTTATATGGTGCTGAGGTCGAACCCAGGGTCTTGCTCTACCACTGAGCCACAATCCCAGCCCTAGGTTAGTATTTTTTTTTTCACCTTTGTTCTGAAGATGACAAAATAAGGACTTGAAAAGATCAAATAATTTTCCCACAGTCATACAGATGAGAATGATAGAGCTGAATTTGAACCCAGGAAGTTTGTGCTTAAAAGTGCTTTTAGTTTCCATGCTACTTTTATAAAATAAATCGGCCAATCTAAAGTACAAGGGCATTTGCTTCTGTATCTTTAGTTAGTATGGAGGCTTGGGTGTTGTTTTCCTACTAGTCTAAGACAAGGGTCAGCAAAATTTTACTGTCAAGGGCCAAATATTAAATATTTTAACCTTTGCTAGCAACAGGGTGTTTATCAAAACCATTTGTCCTTCCCTTTGTCATTCACTGAAGTAAACAATGGACATGGCTGTGTACCATTAAAACTTTATTTGCAAAAGGAGATAACCAGATGGATTCAGACCACAGGCTATAGTCTGCTGCCTTTTTATTTAAGAGAATGACTCTTCCTTCATTACCACTTTCTCAGCTTGAATTATAGGACATTCAAATCATTTAAGCTGATTGGCCTAAAAATACCAACCAACTTCAAAACATTTCTAGTGATAGAGCTATTCTACAGAGTTGTCATAGCCATTATTTTTCTAATTCTAAACGTGGCAGTGTTCTAGATAGTGTTGTCATATTTATGTTTTAGTTCTTTTGTTTAACTGCCATAAACTGAGGTGGATGATACAGAAAATATGTGATCTCTTCCTTGTTTTTGTGAATATATTTCTATTGGAAAGACCACATAGAAACACACACATATGCTATGATTTGAAGGTTTATGTTCCCCTAAAAGTCATATCTTGAAATCCAGTCTCCAATGCAGTAGTGTTAAAAGGTAGGCCATTCAGGAGGTGGTTGCCTGAGGGAACTCATGCATTCTTTCCACTATGTGAGGACATAGTGAGAAGCTCTCATCGGACACGAAGTTTGATGGTATATAGATGGTGGTTTCCCAGCCTATACCAATGAGTTGCTGGTGTTTATAAGCTACAGAGTTCATGGTATGTTGTTATAGCAGCCCAGGCAGACCAAGACATATGCACTCAGCGTTTTTGTACCAGGAAAGGTGGAGGCAGGAAAACTATAGGTTCAAAGAAGAGGAAAATATCTCAGAGTTTACACTAAGATTGATCAGAGACGCCTTCCTGAAGGATATGGGCTCTGGTATGCCTATGAAGTGATCACAGGAAAGCTAAAGGTGAGCAGAAGTGTTGTCCCAGGTGAAGGGGACATTTTACATAGAGGTGCCACAAGTGGGAGCTTATGCAAAAGTCAGTCTGACTGAGGCTAAGCACTGGGTGAGGGAAGAGTTGGAGATCAGAGTAGAAATGTAGTCAAGACAAAATTATGAAGGATCTTCTATGCTAGCTTCAAGAATGTGGGCTTTTAGTGTAGATAAGTGGTTCTCAACCAGGAGTAAATTTGCCCCCTCCCCTGCATACATTTGGGTTGTCACAAGTGGAGTATAGGGAGAGGTTTCTATTGACATCAAGATAAGGGGAAATGCTAAAGATCTTATGATATAGATATCAGCACCCCAATAACTAAGAATTACCCAGCCTCTATTGCCAAAGTTGGGATACCTTAATGTGGACAGTAGTTGTCTGTCTGTGAATCTCTGCAACCAGACAGTATAGTCATGAAAGTAGTGATGACTGATTCTGTGGCACCGTGTGGGTTGAATCAGAAGGTAAAGACTGGATATAAAGAGTCTCTTTGTTGGTTTGTTTTTTCCAGGAACATGCGGTCCTATGGGGTATAAGACATGGTGCCGGGCATGGGGGAAGGGTAGAGAGATGAATAGCGATATACTTGTTTCTGGAAGTCCAGATGGCTGTGGTGTTGCAAAGGCTTCTAACTAGAATAAGAACCCACATGGTCCACACTGCATGGTTGCTTTCATGCAAACACTAGTTAGATAACCTCAAATAGCTCATAATCTCCACCGGGTCTAAAACACATAACCTGTCTCTAGTGTCTCCGCAAGAATGACAAAGGGCATCCAGTTTATACTTCCCAGCAAGCCTTCTAACCCTGCCACAGAGCTCTGGTTCTCATACATCCAATGGCCATGCCTTCCTTAATATCTCCAGCTCTTGCTTCGCATCTGGCTGCTTGTGTTCTAGTCCCTATTACTTTTGCTCCTGTGCCTTACTGACTCCATGGTTTTCTGCCACAGTCCGGCTGCAGCAAAATAACCAGGGGGTGACGAACAACTTATGTACATTGATACAGCAGGAGTAGGAGCTGTTTATTGTAGGACAGGAGGGACATTCCACACAGCTTATCTTAATTAACATAAACTAGATACAGCAGTCAACCAATAAGGAATCTCCACACTTAATGGCTCGCTGGCATTACTTCACAAACCACTCC